GGACAGACACAGAGAGTTCTCACAGCTCAGGGGCAAAGTGAAATAAGAGAACTGAAAAGCTTAAAAATCCTGTATTTTGAATTTTTGGGTTAGCAGGTCAAATCTAGTTCAGGTTTTTCAGTCAGCACTGCTAGAAGCAGAGTGAAATAGGAACAGTGCTAGAGAGAGAAATCACCAGCAGCAGCAGGACTGGGCAATATTTGAATATATTAATTGCACCACTGAAAGTGTTCCCCCAAGTCCCAGCAGTAAATCAGTGTGAGGTTGCAGAATTACTCAGCTCAAACAGTTTGTAATAGTCATTTACACACACATAGCAATTTTTGGCCTAATAAAAATGAGAAGGGTCAACTAGAAGTGTGTGAGAAAACAAACACTTCTCAGCCTTGCTCCTTTCAAATTGCTACACAAAAGCAAAAGCCCTGGCATGCCCTTTTTTCTGCTTTACAGAAAGCACAGCCTGTAAGACAGTGCATAACCCTACACTGCCCTGGTTGCTCACAGAAAGGTCAAATCCAGCATTGTCTGGTTCACAAAAACAGAGCAGAAACAGGTCTGCAATATTTTGCAAAACACTTTGTCCCATCCCATTTCAAGAAGCATTTTGATCCAGGTGAAAACAGAATACTTGTTTCCCAGAGTTAGTGACAAAGCAGAGCTTCCCTGCTCCACAGCCTCAAACACTCACTGCATGCTAGGGAATGCTCAGGAAACAGGAATTCCCACTATTAACTCAGAATTTGCAGCTGGGTTTTGTAAATGACCTTTGGTAGTGTTTCCCTTGATGAATTCCAAGTGCTGTTCATTCAGAAACAGGGTGAAAAAGTGCCTGCCAAACTGTCCTTTTAATGGGAGAAGGAACATGCTACTCCTGCAGCAACAAACTGTGCCCAGCTGCCACCCTCGGATGGGGCAGAAAGCAAGGAGGGCAGACTTGTGTTATCTGTCCTTGTCTTTACAGTTCCCTCCTGCCCAAAAGCACAGCCAGGAAGAGGCCCAGGCAGCAGCTCCTGAATGCTCCATGAATCACCAGTTCTGACAGGTCCCTTGATTTATTGTTTTAGGAGTCCAAGCCAAGGAACTGGGTGAAATCTTGGTTTCACAGTCCCTGATGCACTGCTGACAGAGCAAGTGACCTTGGGTTCAAGGCACTTGATCTCGGTGTCTCAGCCATCCCAGCTGGAGCCTGGCTGGAGCAGCCCTGCAGACACTCCTTCCTCCACGCAGGGATTTGTATCCATGCTTTTGATTCCTCTGCTGTCCCCAAATCCCTGCCAGGACAGTGGCACAGAGTAGCACCGAACACACTCTGGGCACTGCGTGAGCTCAGTTTGCTTTTACAAGAAACTCAACCTCATCCTGACCCCTTTTGCCTCTCACGCTCATGAAACAGAAACTCCACACAAAGCACACTGATATTTCCTGTTTATGTCCAGCTGTTAGAGGAGTTCTGCTGGCCAGTCCTTTAATCACCATTGTAGCACATTCTCCTCCTCTGCTCCTCTCCCCAGGCTGACAGAGCTGACCAAAGGTGCTTCCATCACCCCCTCCATGCCCAAATTCCAGCTGTACCTAAGGTCTGCACAGTCTCCTCGCTCTGCTGCACCTGCTGGGACATCATCCTGCTGATGCCCATCAGACTCTCTGTGATGTTGCTTGCACTCTCTGCCAGACTTTCCTTTGTGGTCTTCCTGAAAAGAGAAAAAAGAAAAGCAGGAAGAGGTAAAATTATCTTTTTGGGTGCTCTGGGAAAATGCTGCTGATAGGGAGATAAGGCCAATACTTGGCACTAAAGATCTCTGCATTGTACAAAAGACACAACTGGTTTTCACTGCATGAGAAATTCAGATTATTTTCACTAAACAATAAAGTCTTGAGCCCAAACAACAGCTCAGAATCTCACAGGGCCTGTACTTCACCACTTGCTCACCCTGGACTGTGTAATTCCTTTATGGGAGCACCAACACAAACCCATTTTATCATCCTGAATATCCCAGCTGTTGCATTCAATACAATACACAGCCTGCACACACTCACACCCAGTTCTGGATGTGAAAACAGCTTGGATAATGACCCAGTTCTTGTGTAGAACCTATCTGGAATTAATGTAAAAGACAATATGTAAAGCTATGAAGGTTAATTTATCCCCTTTTCTGCTTAGACATGCCAATGCCAAGAGAATCTGAATTCATCACTATCCTTAACAGCCCAAATCTCCAGAAATGGGAAATTCATTCACAAAAGAAAACCTACATATGATATAATTAAAAAAAAAATTAAAATATGATGTCCATTTAAAATGAGTGAATATAGGAGACACTGCTTGTCCCACAGTACAGTGGGACAGTCCAATACCTTTGTCTTAAGATGTCTCGTCCCTGCAGCAGCTGATCTTTCTCAGAGTTGTCAATAGCAATTTTGCAGGCCAGATTTGCCTTTCTCCAGGCTGCCTGGTTGCTGAAATCACAAAAGCAGAGTGTTGTAATGCGATGGGAACACCTTGCAAGCACAGACAGTTTTCACAAAGCAGCCACCATTGTAAGTGGTGCAAGGGCCCTCAGAATGCAAGAAATACTCGGGCTGGAAAATACTTCCAACATCATCAAGTCCCAGCTGTGCCCCATCCCCACCCTGCCCCAGCCCACAGCACTCAGTGCCACCTCCAGCCCTTCCTGGGACACCCCAGGGATGGGATCCAAACCTGCCTGAGCAGTTCCAGTGCCTGAGCTCCCTTTCCATGGGGAAATTCCTGCTGATGTCCACCCTGAGCCTGCCCTGGCCCAGCCTGAGGCTGTTCCCTCTCATCCTGGATGTCCCCCTGGCTGTCCCCTCCTGTCAGGAGCTGTGCAGAGCCACAAGGTCCCCCCTGAGCCTCCTTTTCTCCAGGCTGAGCCCCTTCCCAGCTCCCTCAGCCCCTCACTTTCTCTATTCCTACACATAAGAAAAACATTCTATTCTGACATTCCCACTCCTCAGTGCAGCACTTAAGGACCAAGAGAAGAAGAAAACTGCCAGCTGTCAAACAACAGATTCCAAAGCCGCCTTCTTTGAGCTCAAAGGGACAGAGCAGAGCCAGGAAGTCATGGCAGGAGAAGGGAGTTAGTTACACCCTTTCTGTCCCTTTGCTCCTGGTCTGGGCCAAAACACGTGTCAGTGTGTGTGTGCTTCCAAACTCAGAGGCTGCACCAAAGCCGGCCAAGCTGCGGGGCCAGACCCACCTGAGCATTTGCTTCTTGTGGCTCTCCACCTCCCGCAGCAAGGCTTGCTTCTCCGACTCCTTGTCCTGCTCCTTCGCCATCTGCTCCAGCTCCTTCGGCGGCGAGCACAAACACCAGAACCTCACCAGCCAGCCGCGCAGCCCAGCCCGGAGCAGGTTTATGTGACAAACCCCAACCCAGGACGGCGACTCCCAGATCTCGGCCGGGACCCCCAAACCCAAGGCCGGGATCCCCAGAGCCCGGCAGGCACCCACAGCCGGGGGGCCCAGCCCGGAGCCCCCGGCAGCCGCGGCCGGGCCTCACCTGGATGCGGCCGCGGAGCTGTCGGAACTTCTCCTTCACGGCGGCGTTGAGCTCCGTGAGGGCGCTGAGCGGCCCCGGGCAGTCCCGGATGTCCTGGAACACAACGGCGCGGTCAGCGCGGGCCCGGCTCGCCCCGCGGCCGTGCCGCGGTGTCCCGGGGTGTCCCGGGGTGTCCCGGGGCTGGCGGCGGTACCTGCACGGCCGCTTTGATCTCCAGGTCGAACTTGACGATCTCCTGGTGACAGACCCGCAGCGGCACCGCCGCGGCCGCCGCCGCCATCTTGGCCGGGCCGGGCGGGGCCGGGCGCCCCCTGCGGGCGGCGGGCGGGACGCGCGCAAGGAGGGACGTGGCGGGCCGGGCCGAAGGGATCCGATCCCATCCGATCCCATCCGATCCCATCCGACCCGAACAGACCCGATCCGATCCCATCCGATCTGATCCGATCTGACCCGATCCGACCCGACCCGACCCGATCCGACCAGACCTGATCCGATCCAATCCGACCAGACCCGATCCGACCCGATCTGACCCGACCCGATTCAATCCGACCCGATCCAATCCGACCCAACCCCATCCCATCCCATCCCATCCCATCCCATCCCATCCCATCCCATCCCATCCCATCCCATCCCATC